ACCTCATTTAACAATTCTGTAATGTAGGTACCATTATTAACCCACTGATGAGGAAAAGTTAAGTCCATAGAAGTTAACTTGCGCAAGGTCAACAATTGTAAATGGTGAACACAGACCGGTAAACTCAGGAGCTATGCTCTTGACCACTACTTGCACAGTGTGGTACACAGAAAAAATGGCTTCTCAAAAATATCCTAGGCTGGGCACAATGGCTCATGCCTGTAATTCCAGCACTTTGAGAGGCTGAGGTGGGTGAATCACTTGAGTTTAAAAGTTCAAGTCCAGCCTGGGCAACATGATGAAACCCTGTCTCTACTAAAAATACAAAAATTAGCCAGGTATGGTGGCACATGCCTATAGTCGCAGCTACTCAGGAGGCTGAGGTGGGAGGATCACCTGAGCCCAGGAGGCAAAAGCTGCATTGAGCCATGATCACGCCACTACACTCCAGCCTGGGTAACAGAATAAGACCCTGTCTCAAGAAAAAAAAATTCTAATTCTCAGAACTGTGAATATGTTACATTACATGGCAAAAAGGAATTTGCAAATGTGATGAAGTTAAGGACCTTGAGATGAGATGATTACCCTGGATTATGCAGATGGACCCACTGTCATCACATGGGTCCTTAAAATAGAGAATCTTTCTCCCCCTTAAGAGCATTGAAGAAAAACAGAAAAGAAAAAAAAAAATGGAGAATCTTTCCTAACTGCAGTCAAAGGGAGATGTGACAGTAGAAACAATGGTCAGAGACATACATCATTGCTAGCTTTGAAGATGGAAGTAGGGGATCATGAGGTAAGGAATGTAGACATTTCCTAGAAGTGACGTAAGGCAGAGAAATGGATTCTCCCCTAAAGATTTTAGAAAAGAATGCAGACCTACCTAAACTTTTGTTTTAGCCCCATGAACCCTATGTTGGACTTCTAACCTACAGAACAGTAAAATAGTAAATTTGTGATGTTTTAAGCCACTAGGTTTACAGTATTTCGTAGCAGCAGTAGAAAACTAATACATATTGCCTCATTGAAAAAGAGAGTTATTGAGCCCCTTCCTGTGGGACTTGTCAGAAGCCGAGAGAATGCTTCATGGTATGTAAATTAAACTTGAAATTAAAGTTGCTGCTACTTTTAGCTCCTGGTTTTATAGGTTATTATATAACAGCAGTTTTATGATAAAGAGTGCTATGCAATAATAGGCTATTATAGTTTTTCATCTTGACTTACATTAATGCATTATGTAGCTAGTTTTAAATGTATTGCATCAAATTTGTCCCTCATTTAGCACTCCGCCAAATGTTACAAGAAACTGAACACATTTAAGATCTTGCTGGCAGAGTTAAAATATTTATAAGATGCCATTGTTTGGATCTTTGATACACACAAGTCGGTTTCTTGTTGTTTGGAAGTTAGGAGATAACTTTTCACCAAACAGTAGAAAGATATTATTTCTAATTTTTAGATTACAAACAGACTGATGATTTCCCAGCAAATTCTGTCATCAGTGCCAAAGTATTCTTTAAAATCTCAGGATAAAATGAGTTGTTAAAAGGGTGACACGTTGCTACAATGAGCTTTTTCAAAACGGGGTCAACATTTTCACATTTCTCATCAATATTCATCATAGAAGAGATCACAAAATGGCAAAATGGGTTTAGATTTATCTGGCCTCTTTCATATAGCAATGTTTATATGCCTAAATGCAATGAAAAATTGGGGCACTGACCTCTGCAGAGAGTCTTGGGAAACATTCCACCTCCAGAAATAGTGAATGCCACAGACCATGATCAAATGGAGCAGTCATTGCTTTCTGTTTGTATTAATGTGGCAGTATGCTGGCTGATAGGATATATGTGGAAAAGAGGAAACTATACCAAGGGGCAGGACCAATTGGTCTTACTTGATGAAGTTTATTCATTGAAAAGACATGATAAAATGAAATAATAAAGCTTTAGGAAAAAAGCAATACATACTTTAGAAGACTCAGGCCACCATAAGAGTAAGCAAAGCAAGTCTTCAGAACAGAGGTTGAATCCTCCAGAGCCATGTGATAGGTGAAATTAAACTTGCCACAGACACCACGTTTGTATTCTTTCAGCAGTCAGGTGTAGAGTGTTGCTAGTTCCTCCCAGCATTGTAGATATGATGGCCATAATTCAGTTCCTATGATCGGGATTCATACAAACATTATGAAAACTGTTCCTGTACAATGAGCTAAAGAAAGGCAATCTAAATTAACTGGGTAGCAGACATTTTGACTGCTGATAAAATAATAGTCAAAACAACTTCACTTCCAGCAATCGGAGATGTAGTGGCTTATTTTGGGCAGCAGAGTCATTCTGCCTATTGTACAGAGACCCAGTAGCAAAGGAGGGGCTACCAGGAGGACTGATTGTATCTGTAGTCTCTTCAAATGATGGAATATGAGAGCTATTTGCCCAATGTGGAAAGAACTATGTGGATTATATTTGTTGTCACAACTAGTGCTGTGCACAGGTCTAGTGGATTAATAATTGAGTCTTACTTAACTGTCTTTTTTCAAACAACTAGTTTATTTTTTCTTTTGAATTGACCATTTGTACAATTGAATTGGCCAAAGCTGTTAAAGCATCACTACTGAGTGCCACCATTAACCCAAATTTTTAAATTTTGTTTTATTTTCTTAATCCTATAAGTAGTGCATAATCATTGTAGAAAAATAAGAAAACACAAACAAGCAAAAAGAAAAAAATATCTGATGTCCCATTACCTAGTATTACCACTGTTAATGTTTAGGCCTTGCAGATATTTGCCCACACAAATATACACCACATACAATGTTTAATAATCTGCTTGTTTCACTAAACATTTATGTACTTCTACATCAGCCATTTAGGACTTCACTTTTAATGACCACATATCATTCTATTGTATGGATTTACTATAGTTAGTCTTTAATCAATGCCCTGTTATTAGACTGTTAGGTATGGTTTGTAGTTTTTGTTATTACAAGTAATACTATGATGAACATATTAGCACATGTATATTGCATATTTATCCAGTTATATCTTTAAGTCCTAGAAGTCTAATAACTTGCTTAAAAGTTATACAGTTTTCTATAAATTTTGATGCCTAGCTGTAGTTTCATCTTTATACAAGTAGGAAAACAGATTAAAATCTGAAAGATAAAAATCATTCAAAAGACTTAAATTAATAGGTTTCATAAACTTCTGAAAATTCAAGTGAAAACACAAGTAAAAGTATTTTAGTTTAGGTCTATTTGTTAAACCATTTACACATAGACACACACGTTATGAGTTTAAGTGAGTTATTATGTTTAAAGATCAGCAAATAACATGCTTTTCTAAATAATAGGCAAGGATATCAAAATATTGTCTTCCATTTTAATAATTCTTAGGAATAAAAAACTATTAACAGCTGTATTGAAATATAATTTCTATTCCACAAAATTCACCCTTTTAAAGTGTACAATTAAGTGATTTATGTATTCAGAGTTGTGCAACCATTATGATTATCTAATTTCAGAACATTTTTATTTTATACAAAAAGAAACTCTGTACATGTTAACAGTTACTCCCCAGCTACTGGCAAATGCTAATCTGCTTTCTGTTTCTATGCATTTGCCTATTCTTGACATTTCATATAAATGGAATTATATATTTGGCATTTTGTGACTTGTTTCTTTCACTGGGCATAATGTTTTCATAATGTTTTCTTCTATGTTGTAGCATGTTTCCATACTTTACTTCATTTTATTGCCAAATAATTTTCATTATAAAGATATACACCACATTTTCTTTATCCATTCATCAGTTCATTGTTTGTATGCCAATTAAAATCTTATCACCATCATGCTTAAAATCTTTTAGCAGCACCTGAAATTGATAAGAAGGTTTATGAAAGGCTGGCTTAATCTTGTTCTAACCTACTTTTGGCCTGATCCTCTGCCACACTCCTAACCCCGTCCACTACCACCCTTCCATCAGCACTCCAGCCATAGCAGAAACACTTGCAATTTCCCAAATATAACAGGCACACTCACTTATGTGCTATCGTCTGTGTCTGCAACATCCTTCCTCCCCATACCTCTTTGGATGCCTTTTGCACATTCTTTATGATTCAGCTATCAGGTGTCTTCTCTTGGAAGATCTAACACACAAATATAAGCTGGGTACATTTTTTAACAATCTGTTATACCTTTGTCATAACACTTGTCACAATGTTTTATAATTGTTGCTTTTCTTGACTTCTCTTCCACTAGATTATGAGCTCCTTAAAGCCTGAAACTATATTCTGTATATTTCTATATCCCGAGCCATCCAGGCCCAGCATGTGGTAGACATTCAATATGTTTTCTTTATATACATGGTCAATAAAATTTATTTGCTTTTTTATAAACTGTATTAATCAATTTAAGGATTTTTATGACCATATACTCATAAACTTTATTTAAAATGCATGTTCCAGTTTGCTTATGTTTAATATGTTCATATGCATTTTATATTAAAATTCTCAGTAACATATGAAACAATATGCATTAATATAAACCAGAATGTATATGTAATTCTAGTAAAGTGTATATTGAACTTGGAACCTATCAAATAGGACACACTTTTTCCAATACCTTCAACTGCCTTTAATGGAGACATGTTTAAGTAGAATAACTTAGGGCAAATTCCGAATTTATACAAACGATGGTTCAGTGTCACATTTCAAATGATTTAAGAAGAAAATCATTAAGAATATGCCATGAGACCAATTTATAAATCATAATTGGACTTTCAAAACAAGATAAGCTTCTTTTTACAGTCAAAAATGTCGCTTCTCTTAAACTTGGTTTGGAAAGTGCTGCCTTGCTTAAAAAACTATAATAATCTTTGAAGCCTACATACATAAACTGTTTCTGAATCTGTTTTCACTGTTTTCTATATGAATGAAGATTTGTTTAAGTAGGCCCGGTTCTTGGTAATAGAATCCTAACCTCTGTTACTTCTGACTTATAGGGTATCTTTGTTACTAGGGTTCAGCCTGATGGGCCAGCATCAAACCTACTGCAGCCTGGTGATAAGATCCTTCAGGTAAGAGAGATAAAAGAAATGCATGCAAATGGCAATACTGAAACAAATATGTAACCATGTTACCAAGTTAAATGTTTGAATTGAACAATTGAAAATAAGTCCTGCTCACATTGCTTATTTGCCTTTATTGTTTTGGGGCTGAAGGTCAAATCAAAAACAATTCAGTCTGACAGAACCATATGACCCTAGCACCTTACGGTACTTGGCACATGACAGATGTTTTGCATATTTTTGTTGAATTGAATGGAATTGCTTGATCATATAAGAAATATATATATATATGAATGTATGCATAGTTATCAAGTGAAAGTAAGAGTAAGTGCCCAAACACAGTGTCTGTGTGATTTTCATGAGGGAGAAGGAAATGGTCCATATTTAATTTCTCAACCACAGGCTTACGTCATTTGACTGCTGTGAAATACATAATATATTTTTCTACTCCACCTGCTTAGGTAAACAAAAGTTTAGCTGTATATAAGGTGACTTTAGAATACACTGTGTGATGGAAAAGGACTTTCATTAACTTAAACCTCTGCATATCGAAAAAAGAATCTCTCCAATACATAATTAAGCAAATACTTTATGTAACTTCATTTATTTGGTTTTTTATCCTTCTTCTCTCTGAATTCACTTTCTTTAATTTTTTTGCATTGTTTCTTATCAGTGATTTGAAGCTCATGATTTCACTTTCTAAGAGGTGCATAATCATTTTCTACATTCCAAGGAAAAGCTCTTAAGCATTGTTGATGTATTTAAGATTCAGCATTTTGACTCAGAACCCCAGAAATTTCTCATGATGTAAATAGGTGAAACTACTTGATATTACTAATATTTGACCATTTGCAACAATTGTGAAATGGTTCAACATAATATTCTGAAGATTTAGATTCACCGAGAAGACAGGACATGTGAAAAAGAAACCTTAGGTTAGCTATACACACATAGTTAAGGAATGCAAGGATACCCTCAAGTCAGCTCCAAGGACTCCGAGATCTTCTATCTCCAATGTACTGAGCTCTCTCAGAAAGTTCTAGAAAAGTAGAAATCCTAAGATTGCTTTAACATTTCATTCTCAGAATTTTTTTTTTTTTTTTTTTTTTTTTGAGACAGAATTTCGCTCTTTTTACCCAGGCCGGAGTGCAATGGCGCAATCTTGGCTCACTGCAAACTCTGCCTCCTGGGTTCAAGCGATTCTTCTGCCTCAGCCTCCAAGTAGCTGGGATTTGGCATGTGTCACCATGCCCAGCTAATTTTTGTATTTTTAGTAAAGACAGGGTTTCTCCATGTTGGTCAGGCTGGTCTCAAACTCTCGACCTCAGGTGATCCACCTGTCTCTGCCTCCTAAAGTGCTGGTATTACAGCATGGGCCATGACACCCAGCCTTTCAGAAATGTCTCAAACTAATTAGCAAGATTACGATCAGCTACTCAAGTTTTCAGAAATGATAGTTCTCTGAAAAGAGTTTAAGCTACTATTAGGCCAATGTCACAATAGAAGCACCACCCAGAAGCTCTGAGTTCGTTCTATGCAGGCAGAAGATGCATATAGCAGTTGGTATTTTGAGCTAGAGCAGAGAAACAAAAAAAAATAAATAAGTAAAATTTTTCTTTAACACCCTATTATGGAAATTCTATATTTTTGGATAGCCTAACTAGTCCTTTGATCTTAGACATTTTACACCATGTCTATGGGCCTCAAATTCGTTATGTGTAAAATGAACTGCTGTTTATATTATATCTGAGATCCCTCCCAGTTCAGAAATTCAACTCTTTGAAAATTGTATGAATTGAGTGAAAAACAGTCATGAATAAACTAACAACATAACCCCCTAATATTTGGTAAACACTACTTATTAACAAAGGTAATGGTTAACTTTTTTCTCCACTGAATTTCAAAGAAATTATTTTAAATTCTACAGTCTGGAAAAAAATATAGTCAATTAATCTCATATCTCTTACCTACTAGAATGTGAGACTGGGTAGAGAAGTATGCTATAGCTTGAGCCAAGGTTGCAGAGTTCCTTACTCCATGACAGAAGTAGCAAAAGAAAGATTTTTTTCATTATGCTAGAATTCAGAAATGTATACATAAGTATTATAACAAATTATACACAGCATATCTTGCAGATGGGAACCTAGGTTAGTGTTGGGCCAGCCCTGATGGCTCACACCTGTAATCCCACCACTTTGAGAGGCAGAGGCAGGAAGATGGCTTAAAGTCAGAAGTTTAAGACCAGACTTGGCAGCACGGTGACACTTCTCTACAGAAAATTAAAAATTAACCAGGCATGGTGATGAGCACCTGTAATCCCAGCTACTAGGGAGGCTGAGGTGGGAGAATTGCTTGAGCCCAGGAGTTGGAGGCTGCAGTGAGCTGTGATTGTGCCACTGCACTCCGGGCTTAGTAACACAGCAAGAATCTGTCTCAAAAAATAAATAAATAAAAATAAAGCAAGAATCTGTCTCTAAAAAAGTAAAGTGTCTACTTGCAAGGTACCAGAATGCTCTTTTCTGGCTATGAAATTCTAGAATTATATGTGAGGACAAGAGGGCTATGAGGGTTCAGTATTTCTAATCCTGGAGAGGTATATAACAACAGCAAAGTGCAAGGAAATGGATTCCTCATGCAAGAGGTAAAAAGAAATTTTAAGCCAGGAATACTGCAGAAATGCTACACCCAAGATATCTCTTCTCTCCACAAATGACTATCAAGGATGTGCCACTTTATTTTTCTATAGAACTCACTTGTACCTAGTCCAATAAAATCATAGCTCATTTGCAATAAAGAAAAAAGTACATAGACTTTAATCAAATAAATTATGTATTTGCAGTTTCATTCATACTAATTGAAAAGCACACATAGCTAATTATACTTTCTGAAAGAAACGAGAATGGCTAATCCTAAAATGAAATTGTTTGCAATGTCAGAAGCTAAAAAGAAAAGCTATATTTTTATCTACTTATAATTACTATTGTCTCAGTTTAAAGAATGCTGGGGGGAAATGGGTTAATAACATTGAGTTGTCTATCACTTAAAAAATCAGAATCATGTATTTTTAATGGAGCACATTTATTTACAAAGCTTAACAGCAATGTTCAATCTGGGGAACTGAAGTAAAAGAAAGGAAAAAAGAGGCCGGGCGTGGTGGCTCACGCCTATAATCCCAGCACTTTGGGAGGCCGAAGCAGGTGGATCATGAGGTCAAGAGATCGAGACCATCCTGGTCAATGAGGTGAAACCCCATCTCTACTAAAAATACAAAAATCAGTTGGGCATGGTGGCGCACGCCTGTAATCCCAGCTTCTCGGGAGGGTGAGGCAGGAGAATTGCTTGAACCCAGAAGGCAGAGGTTGCGGTGAGCTGATATCATGCCATTGCCCTCCAGTCTGGGTAACGACAGCGAAACTCCATCTCAAAAAAAAAAAAAGAAAGGAAAAAAGAATAGCCTTCCCTAAGTGACAACACTTTTGGGGTTTAATCTAACCCAATAGGAAATAGCAAAAGATATATAAGAACACAAGAGCATAAGAGCACCTTTCCCAATCCCTCTTCCCAACCCCAGAATTTATTAGATCTCTTTCTTTCTCTATAACTCTTTTTACCATCCACTCTCTTCTTATTCTGCTGTGATATTATGAGCATGTCATTTTAATTACATGAAGATCTGTGCAATATGGGATGATGTTAATTAAAACATATTCACATAGTTTTTCTGTCATTTTACAATTCATTTTCCCAGAATAGACACATTATAATTGCGCTAAGACAGTGTGACGCATGGAAGAGCAACTGACCTTTCATAAACTCACCTTCTGTGAAGTTCAATTATATAACAGTAAGAGAAAAAACTGAAAGCGTATGGATTATAAAAATATGTTAGATTGAGCCATCTGAATTTGCCAGTATTTGAAATGACAGTTTTGTTAATTTATCATCATAGTTTCTTTTTCCTAATTTCTTTTCAGCTAAAAAATTCAGTCTAATTCATTATACATTTTTATAATTTAAAATATATATGAATACAGGAAATCTAGTAACTATATTACTCTTTTGAAAAGATGAACAGACTGGAAAAAAGGATATATTATGCCTGATAGTTAACAACAAATTCGTCTAACCTAAACTCAGTGTAACCTAAAATCCACTTGTAAGTATGCCCTGTTTCCTTGAGGTAACCAAACCCTCTCTATTTACTCACCCCAATCTCCATACATGAGCCTAATTTTGTCAGGAGAAGAGAAATTAAATAACTTATACAGAATTAGTTAATGACATCCAGATTTTGCCAGTAACCAAAACAGATTTCTCTAATATGAGGTATATAAATACAGTACTTAATTTAAGATAATCTGATAGTCTCTTCTATCCTGCCATCATGTTAAGGGTTTCGGAATTTGCAATCCAAACATACTCCTTGTCTATTGCTGTATTTCAAGAAGCCAAAAGAGAATAATCAATGAGATAATAATTCAAACAAGCTAGATATTTTTCTTTTTTTCTCATCTTAGAAAGAACCTTGGCCCTACAATTTATATAGACAGTTCAAGAAACTACTATCAACAATAAGTCTATCAACAAATACTTGGACTATTAGCAGAGTCATTATTATTGCACTTATTTTTACTTTTTTAAAGTTAGTTTTTGGTAAGTTGTTCAGCTCAGAGCATCTTACCTTGGCCAAAATCATGGGGTTTGATGCCCGTTAGGCCTATTGTCACTGCTCTGTTCCATAACCACTGACAACTTCACTCCACATCCTGATTAGTGACTTAAAGGGGAATATCATTAGAAGCCCCTTAATAGATAGGAGGGAAGTCATGTGTCCTAAGGGAGCTAATAGCTAGGGAGACAAGATGAATGTATGTAACTCATTAGGAAACTAATAAAGTACTTGATTTTGTGAGGTATCTAATAAATGTAGCTGTGTTAAGAGAATGGAGTGATTAATATAAAAGTGTGTTACCTGGGATGCAGAGAGGATGGCCACTCGCAAACAAAAA